TTTTTATTATTTAGACATTTTATTGGGGAGTACAATTTTTTGAAAAAGGCACTTGCACATTAAGGCTGAAATGTAGACACGTTTTTTTTCCCTCGGACACTTGGCCTCCGCAAAATCAAATCATGTTTACAAATCTATTTTGCTGAATGTTTACTTTGCTATATGAAACTATAGTTATGTATTCCTTACATGCCTAGGTTGGCTTGTAAAATTATTGTTTTGTATCCTTGTTTATCTTTGCATTGTAAACCTTTTTCTCTAAATACAGCATTTTGCTTTATTGTCACTTGGTGTCTGAACACGTGTTCAAGGGCCCATGCCTATAATTAAAAGGCTACAGTTTTCATTCCTCTGGTGTACACGCACACGTATACATAATGTATTGTGTAACACACGGATTTGTGAACACTGGAAATAAATGAATTGAACTGAACTTATTTCTAATGAAACGTTTGAACAGCTAAGCCCCTGTTTTGTCCCTTGTCTATCTGTTCTTTTAATTCATTTTGTTGCATAATTTTAAGCTATTTGTAAGACAGGTTCGATTTTTACTGTCGTTTTTTTATCAAGAATCGCAAAAGTATTTTGCTGATGGCATTTAGAAAGCGACGGGCCCGGTTCACCGTACGAGTGCCAATTTTTCATCTTTAGTCGAGGGACGGTAGGATAGCTGACTAGTATGAGCCTGTATGGAGCATGTTATGTTGGTCACGATGCGGAGTCAATTCCTATAAGTTTACTGTGGGGAGAGATTTCGGTCATGTACATGTACATGTACATGTACATGTGTGATTACTTTTAGGTGATTGAGGGCGCTATTCACGTTAAACGGTCGAGCCTACGCGAAGTTTGTTTGGGGAGTTAAAAGTACGAAAGTAGTTCGTGTATAATTTGCTGTTTTGGTCACGTAGCTCGCCAAAACAGCTCTCGTTAATTGCGTGTATTTCATATTAGAATTTAAAATAGGAACTTCTGAATTCCTTTAATTCTCATTTCTAACCGACCCTAATAACACTTTAGGCTCCCGACAAGAAAAAAACCCGACAAGAAAAAAACCTAGAACCTCTAGAACCGCCTATTCACCGTAATGTAAGAAAATGGGTAAAATAAAATATATTATATTAGATTCAGGCAATCAGGCTCTGTGATATTTGAAGTGATTGGAAATTAATATCGATTTACGCGAAGTATACGATATAAAAAAAACAGTGGAATCTCAGAGAGGACGCCCTGAAAATCGACCCCCATAAGACCTACCGCGGTGATAACTATGCCATTTTCCGAAAACTATTTAAAAAGTACTTACAACTCTTCAAGGTGTTTGAGACACCAACAAAGCTTATTCCATAATCTTTTAGTTTCTGTTAAATTTTGCAATGAATAAGATGCCACTATTATTATTATTATTATTATGACTAATGTGAGGAAATTCCATCACAGGATGTTACCCCAAAAAGTAGTCCTGTGGCCAATCGCCATTTTGGGGGGAGGGCGTCATGCAGTGGCGTCAATCGCTTCTCAAAAGGGGGGGGGGGGGCGGACATACCTTGATCAGAACTGATGCGAGCGCGAAGCAAGAAGCCCTTAGGGCGTGGGGTTCGGGGCCCGCTTAAGGGCCCAAAAAATTTGATTCTAGATGTTCTGTGGTGCGATCGGAAGCAATTTCTTACCACTTTCCTCCATGCTTCAACTAATATTTTCTTAGCAAAAGATAATTATTTGAACATCGTTTTCGAGGTTGGAGTCATTGAATCAGCTATCGGTATTCTGAGCTATAGGCGTGGGGTTCGGGGCCCGCTTAAGGGCCCCGAAAAAAATTGGATTCTCGATGCTTTGTGGTGTGATCTGAGGCAATTTCTACCACTTTAACCAATAATTATCTTAGCACAAAAGTTAATAATTTCAACATAATTTTCGAGGTTTTCTCAGCTAAAGGCATAAGAAATTTTTTTGAACATTGTTTTCGAGGTTGGAGTCATTGAATCAGCTACCAGAATTCTGAGCTTTAGGCGTGGGGTTCGGGGCCCGCTTAAGGGCCCCGAAAAAATTTGGATTCTAAATGCTCTGTGGTGCTATCTGAGGCAATTTCTGACCACTTTCTGGGGGGGGGGGTTACATTTGATATTGTGTCCCCCACCCTTCAAAAAGTGAGGGGGAGGGGACATGTCCCCTGTCCCCCCAGGATTGATGCCCGTGGCGTCATGTAGATCAATGATAATTTTTTTAGAAACTCAAAATCTCAGTGGGGGGGGGGGGGGCGACTGGGGGGGGGCGACAAGGTTTCATGGGGGGCGGTCGCCCCCCCCCCACCCCCCCCCCCGGTGGCTACGTCACTGCGAAGGATTAAACCACAAATGCAAGTATTCGCTGTCAATAGTGTAATGCCAAATAAGTAAGGCGTTATTTATGGCGATACTCTCAATTGATGGCAGTATATAAGTTTAACGGTCAAGCCTACGCAGGTTTGGTTTGGGGTTAAACGTACGAAAAGTAGTTCGCACATAATTAGCGGTTTCGGCGACGTAGTTCGCTGAAAGAGCTCCTGTTCATTACGTTTGTTCATATTAGGATAAAGATAGATAATGGGGCTGTTTGCTGTTGTGATAAGAAATAATTGTGTACGATTACATATCATTTTGTAGAGTGTGCAATAACGATCAGTTGTGTGATTACTTTTAGTTGATTGAGGGCGCTATTCAAGTTTAACGGTCAAGCCTACGCGCACTTTGTTTTGGGAGTTAAACGAACGAAAAGTAGTTCACGCATAATTGGCTGTTTTGGTAACGTAGTTCATCGCAAAAAACAGCTTTTGTTAAATGCATGTGTTTCATATTATGATATAAAATAGGAAAGCTGCAATTCTTTGATTCTCATTTCTAACCGACCAAATTGTTTTATAGGCTCCCGACCAGAAAACAACCTAAAATCTCTAGAACCCTATAATTTACCGAAATTAATGTAACGAATGGGAACTATAAGAGTCAGGCAAACATGCTCTGCGATATTTGAAGTGATTGAAAATTAATATCAATTTACGCGAAGTATACGGTATAAAAACCAGTGGAATCCCAGAGAGGACGCCTCTCATTAGGTGTCTCATATGACTATTTATTAGGAAGAACTGTATGTGACTCATATGTCTCATATCTCATAATTCGCTCTCCCGCCATTACTTTTTCTGGTGAACACGAAACCGCCATTTTAACTGCTCCGCTTTTGTTCCAATATCGCGACACAAAGAGCGAATAGGGCACACACCGCTTTACCCGATTAACCTGCATTTAGACGGTGTTCGGGTCTGCAGGGTTGGAAGCGAGATACGAAACCAGTGGCGCGCCCAGGATTTGGCTTTTTTGGGGGGGGGGGGCGGCTAACAATTTTGTTAAAACAATTGTTTGTTTTTTTTATTAATTTTTTTTAGGGGGGCGGAGTACTCGACAGTAGGCCATAACATTTCACAAGGTAAAATCCTGGGACCAAACAAAATTACTACATAAACGAAAATAAACAAATTAACAACCTGGGGCGACCCCCCCCCCCCCACGGGATACGCCACTGATTCAAACTAGAACAGAAACGCCCCAGCAAGAATATTTTGAGGTAGGAGTGGTTCCTCCATCGAGAGTGAAGTTGAATACTGCAATCCGGCGTAACAATGAATTAAATGCGTTAACAATTACGTAACAAAGTGTGCTGTCAACAGTGTAACGCCCCATATTGAAAGAGAAGGGACGGCGTGATGGAGTTCCTTTGTGCTGTAGTGATTCGAAAGAATTGTATTACCGAGTAGGCCTATGACGCTGATCCTCTCAGTCATTATTGAGGGCACTATTTAAGTTTAACGGTCAAGCCTACGCAGGTTTGGTCTGGGGATTAAACGTACGAAAAATAGTTCGCGCATAATTAGCCGTTTCGCGACGTAGTTCGCCGGAAGAGATGCTGTTAATACGTGTGTTCATATTAGGATTAAAGATAGATAAAGGGGTTCGTTGCTGTCGTGATTATGAAGAACTGTATATGATAACATCATGGGCGTCGCGGGAGGGGGCAAGGGGGGCACTTCCCCCCCCCCCCGGAAAAGCAAAAAAAAAAAGAAGAAGAAGAAGAAAAAAAGAAAAGAGAAAAAAACAAAAGAAAAGAAAAAGAGGTGCGAAGACAAAAAATGGTGTAAATTTAATGGGGGGGGGGGGGAAATGTCCCTGCCCCCCTCTAAAACTGATAAATCGAGAATATGTTGAGAAATGCAAGCAGTTTTGGCAAAAAATTTTTTGCCCCCCTCTAGAAAAAATCCTGGCGACGCCCATGGATAACATAATAATTGTACAGTGTGCAATGGCTAGTCTGGTTCCCCGACTAAAAATACATTTCTTCATACTTTTGTGTGTCACACCACGAAGGGGGGGGGGGGGGGGGTAATCCAATAGCCCACCCCCGGTCAAAAAGTGTGTGTGTGGTTTTCTATTGTGTAAATCGAGGACACACACGTGCAACATCATCGATGAATCGAGGACGATAACCGAATCGAGGACGACCTCGATAGGAAAACGTGCACAAAACCCTGGGGGCTGTTGCAAAAAAGTTAAGAGTATAAACAAAATAAAAGGGAAGTGGTACAATAGCAAATCCTCGATTTACACCATGAACAGTGTCATCTGTGTGCTTACATATTGGCACTTATGGGGTACCTGGCAAAAAGGGCAACAATAAATTATGGACAATTGGGACCCCACAAGTCTTTAGAAATTAAAGCACCCCATTACCGTAACGCTATGTGTTTTTAGATTTCTAAGGGGACAAAGGAGAACAAAAGAAGGGGATAAGGGTCGAACACTAGTGATACTCCATAAACCCCATATTCTAAGAGTGCGTGGCTGCGTGTGTCATGGGCGGGCTGTACGTGCTCAGCAAACGACCTCGAATTACTGTTCGTTCAGCACGTATAGCTGTTGTGTGCGGCGGACTTCAGCTTTATACAAGTGGGTTACTTTTGTGTAATATTTACCGGAATTATCATGCAAATTCTTCGGCCTGCGTATTTCTAAACATGTTTCATTGTACCGTGTCAGCCGCGCCACAATCCGGCATTCGATGTTATACGCCTCCATATCCACAGTTCTTTCTCTGCAGGCAACTTGCACGTCAACTTTCGGTCGCTACGTATCTATGCAAAGTTTACTTCGATTGTCTTGGCAAAATGAACACCAATTTGTTGGTGATGTTGGTTGTCCTGTGTTCGTCAGGTGGGAACGCAATCACTCGCAGGGAATAGTAAGTTTTCGTTGATCTGTAGATTTGTCCTTTACCGCTTATTGTACATACCATTGTTGGGAAAACTTGGGGCCTATCCGCAGTTTATGTACACATATGCACGTCTTTTGTGAGTGTTGTGCCCAGTCAGCTAACGTGCTTTCATGTCAGACCAGAAAGCAAGTCACTTTCAAGAATGAAGATGGTGAACAGGGACACGGGGGGGGGGGGGGGGGGGGAGGGGCATCAGAATACTACGGGGGCACATATCGCAAATGTGATACTGCAGTTTTTCCCATGAGAAATTGCAAACAATATAATAAGCCTTTGGCTAACTGGAAAAAAAAATACAACTTACCAAACCCATTTTTGGTTGGGGAAGGAAAAGGGGCATAATATCATTATTTTGGTGGGGCACACCTGGGGAGGGGGTACAGAAAATTAATGGGGAGCGGACGTACCTCCCTCTCACCACCCCCACCCCCGGCCCCGTGGCTGCGCCACTTTATGAACAGACTGCCAATTTTTCTTGCAGTTGTATTAATACTATGGTCAGGAACCTTCTTTAAATATCCTCCCGAATCAACTTCTGTTGCAACTCAGTGGCACATTCTTCGTACTCTAATAACCAGCGGATTTTGAAGGGTCATAGATGGGTATACACGTACAGTTTCAAATGTTAAAAAAGGGTGATAATCAAGTTAAGTCTCGTTTGTATACTTCTTCTGAATTAAGTGTCTGTAAAAATAAGTTTAACAATTGGGCAAAATGCCTTATTGTTGTCATGCTTCATAAGCTAATGTGGACAAATGTAACCTCTATTGTTTCTCATTATAGAGCGGTTTACGTCTGCCTTGCATCCGTATAATATGTCATTGTGGGATATCGGTAGCAGGGAAACGGAACAGCGGTGGTAATAGTTGAAACTCCACAAGTCTCTAGAAATCTCAATCCCCCTCGGGAGAAACATGCAGAGTTTTACATTTGTAAAACTTGAAGGAAAATACAAACAGGGTCTACATTACCTCGCGTACTATGCATGTTACTGTAATTCACCCCAAAGAATCTGATGTGGGATTTCTTTCTGTTGTCTTTCAGTCGCATTCCTCTTCCCTTTACACTAGAAGAGGTAAGGTTTTTTTTTATTTTCACTTTTTAAGTTTTTGTTACGTGGAAACATAGGCCCGTACAATGCCTCTTCCAAGTTCGAACAAGCCATATAAAGTAGAATGTATTATGTTTGTCACTTGTTCTTGTGCATTGTCGAATGTGCCACTCGCTGCTCATTGAGGGCGCTGTACTATTTGACCACACAACTCTGCCTGTTCGATTGACCGTATTTCAATTATTCATTAAATGGTAAACTTGTGGTTTTTTTTGTTTTTGTTTTAAAATTATCTTCACAGTATCGTATCGGGCATTTATGGTCGACCGGGAAGTGGAGCTTACTTAATACCGGCGGCGGGGAAGGAGTTGAAGTGGTTGTAAATGAACCTTACGAAGAGGACGGCGAAAGTGGTCACTTCACCCACAAAATCTTCCATTTAGCCTCGTAAGTGACGCGCTCTTTGATAGATTTTATACCTGTTGGTAGATTGGGTTTCTAGATTTGGATGGGTCCTTAGGTTAATTTTGTTGTGCTAGGATGTGGAGTCTTTTTTTTTGTAATGCTAGATTTAAAGTTAGATGAGCTTCTAGTTTTAGCAAGGCAGTTTAGGATTTCGATTTTATTTTCAAAGCCCACTCTCATGATAGAGGCTATATGCTAAATCCAGATGGCGCAGTATCGTATACACTGTAAAACGTTGGACAAAACGGGTTGATATGTAGACCAACGTTGGTCAACATATCGACAGGTTAAACTCTTGGGCAAAGTTCTTCCCAATAGTTGGAAAATTTTTACCCAAATTAGGTAATTTCAAACCAATGTTGGGTACAATTATATTGCCCAACAGTGTTTTGCCCATAAGGCAACCCCTCCACTGGATAATAGGCGTGCCTAGCCAACTAGTAAAATGTCCTTCAATTTGCCTACCAACTTGTCCATAGAATTGTTATCTTCCGTTGATGCACAATAAAAACCAAAGAAACCCTCCAGTTGCACAGTTTAATGCGACAAAATGGTTCATCACACGTACAATGTCGTTATTGGTGGTGGTGTACCTTAGTTTGTGTTGGAATTTTTTTTTCTCCATAGACGTTAATATTTGTGATGTATCACGTTCATTTTTCCATCATCAGCTCATTAAATTTGTCTTGGACATATACGTCCAATTTATGGAATTGCCTTTTTTTAATACAATTTACTTTGTCCCCTTTCGTCTATTTAAAGCTGTATTTTTCAAGTATGCCTTTAGCAAGTGCTGATGGTTTAGCATTTGGTGCTATTCCCTTTTTTGTTCTTGCAGTTTTCGTAATATGGGGCAGGCCTATACTGTCGAAGTGCAGTTGCTGACAGAATTTATGTCAGTGCTGGGTTTTAACACTTCAGCTTTAAGAGTGTATGGTTGACACCCCATTATATTGACATTGGACCTATGTATTGATGTCGCCTGTCACTTTACAGGAAAGTTCCTAAAGTGATAAGGATGTTGGCACCTAAGGGATCACTAGAAATTCATGAGAAGTCATGGAATCGGTTTACAGAGGTCAAAACCGTGACTTCGGTGAGTACCGTCGAAAGTTTCTAAGCTTTTTTAGTGGCGTTACGGGATTTCTCTAACTTAAATGTACTTAGTAAATTAGTCCCGTTTTCTAGGTGTATATACAGTTTATCGCATTACTTTTAAAAGTGTTTTTTTGTTGATTTCTTTCAAAATGCGTTTTCGTTCCATCCAAACTCTTCAAATAATTTTTCCTGTGCTCAATTTCAATGTAGCAAATATTATAACTGTCAAGGGCGGATGGGGGGGGGGGGGGAGCAACGGGGGCCATGGCCACCACCCCCCCCAAAAAAAACCCGAAAACATTTTTTTTTTTAAAGTGGCGTCGCAATAAAGGAAGGCACTGCGTACACCACCATCTTTCCTCCAAAAGATTTGGTTTAAGTGGTTAGAAATAGCGGGCCCCGAGCCCCACGCCGTCATTTTTGGGACCCACTTTTGGGGGGACCAAAACATTTGTTTTGCCCCCCCCCAATATTGTGTAATTATGTCCTCGCAATTTTAATTCATGCGCGTTTTTCCCAATCTTTGTGTGCTCGGTTATATTTCTACCAATATACAATAATTATCATAAGGAGTTGATAAGCTCATTCGTAATATACAATCGTGTTGAAGAATAAATTAAGATAATTGGACGTTACAAAAATGGATGGATGGATAGCCCAGTAACTATCCCATTTACTGTTGAATAATTGCAAGCATTCGGCATATTTGTTCCTTTCTGCAAATTATTGAAAACCCTCGATTTCTCGTTTTTCGGTTTTTACTCTGTGTGTTGATTACTTAAATCTGGAGGTGATTTGTCCAATTGTGATGTTCTTTTCCTTTCATCTAGAACCCTGATTACATGAAAGATGGATATCATACAACCACTCATACACGATTAGTGAAGGCTGCTGACTGTGACCAAGATAACGTAAGAGATATTTTTATTTTTATTTCAAATTCTTGGCACTATATACAAATTGGAATTTCGCGCGAGATTAAAATGGGCTGCGTTAAAAGTTGGCAACTACAAGTTATGCAAAATGCACATTTAATCCTTGCACAGATAAAATTGTTGGTATGCAGATTAGGTCCTAATAAAAGTGGGTCCGCTTCAATAACTTTCCTGTAAATGGTGTTTTGTAAATGGCGTACAGACTGAGATACCCACGAATACTGCTGTTTACTGTTTGGTGTGGTACTTTTTAACAATCTAATCTTGGCCTGCCTTGCTGGGACTTTCTGCAGTCTTTTTACAAATTTTGAAATCTAAAAGAATTACAAAAGAATGTTGAAATGTGTGTTTTGTTTGGACTTCATATTCACAGCCTATCTTTAATATTAATCACAATGCCTGTGACTTCAGGGGAAATGTTGATTGTCTCTTGTTTGGTAGATTTTCAGCGACATCTCTTCAGATATCGACGATGTGATCCACCTGGATATCGTCAACGATCCTATCGCGAGTTCGGTGAGTTTTGACCTTGAGGCTTTGATTTAGGTACAGGTCGTCAGGTCCATTTAAATCATATTAAAGGGGTATTAAGACCTGGAATGCGCCCAATTGGGCTACAAAATGCGTTTTAAACGAAATGATATTAAACTGAAAGAGCTTTTAAAAGTAGAGTATAAATGTCCACACAACCATCCTTTAAAAAGCGTTGTGTGTTATTCTGCCGAGTAAGCCAGTATGTAAGTAATTAAGTAAGAAGTCGCTCATTAGCGAAGCGCGATTCTTGAGACAGTGTGTCGAAGTTTGACGTTTTTCGTTTTCACCGGGTAACTGCCCGCGAAATATTGTGCTCACGGAAATCAGTTATTCATTTCACAGGACTACAAAGTCGACGAAGACCCGACGAAATGCGACTCTGGATTTGGAAATCTGTCTCCTGACTGGCAGGTAAGAGTTCATTCTGCCAGCCTTGTTTTAGTTTTTGATGTGATTTTTTTTGGGTTGTTTGTTTGTTTGTTGGGGGGGGGGGGGTGTTTGTTTATTTGTTTAATTCTATTAGTTTGCTTTTGTTTGTATTATTTTTATTAGTAGAGTGACGTCACAATTATGTATATATAGTTACATATACATTGTATATGGCATGATTTTCATTGACTGGGCAGTAGAATTGGAAAGTTGAACAGGCTTAGGCCTAATTGTCTTGTGAAGATATACCATACAGCCATAATTGGCGCAATGCTTGGGAAGTTCTTATTCTCTGCGGCTGTATGAAATATCTTCGTCCGGATGCATGTTAACATTGTTAGTAGTAATTGTCGCCTATACTAGCTTGGGAATATAGTTATTCTTAATTACTTAGGTTTGTACAAACGTTCATATAATGATTCTCTTATTATACAGAAAAGTGAAGTTCGTATGTGCGTCCACAAACTGGTTGAAGTTGAGTTCCATTGGTTCGGCCTGCAAGGCACGGTGGAGAGTCGCATACAAAAGGTTTCTACATTCAATCAACATGTACTGTTTAATTTACCTGACTATCCCACTGAGCAAAAACTCAGTTTTAATTTCCATACCGATTAAGTTCAGTCAGCGGTCTCCGTCAAATCAATTAGGGGGAGGGGGGATGGTACCACTCTTCGAAAATAGGGGGCGCTCTTCAAAACCGCCAACTAGGCATTATGTGCCCCTATTCAGGGCACATTGTATGTGTTTTGGGGCTTGGTTTTCATATTCCTCGTTCATATCAGAAAAGTGTATACCATTTGTGACAAGAAATTATCCGAAATTTTAGGGACAGTTTTGTTTTCATCCGAGGGGGCACATTTATGTCCGCAAAAGGGGCACTTGGGTACATCTGGTTCTGCTGCTCCAGTTGAGATTAACCTGAGTAACCTTCATCATTTAACCTTCAATGTGCATTTTTGCGTTGTTTTTCTTTCTGTGTCTGCAACACTCTTGAAAGAAGTTCTTCTAAAGGAATTTTGTAAGGTTAACAGTGAAGGACAATACCAAGCTGTTTGGATCACCTCTTATATATCGCTTACCAGCCTCCCTATCTCCCTCTTTTCTCCCTCAATGTGAACATTTTGGCAGGTCTGTCCAAGATTCTTCAGGAACCTCCATCGTCAGATGTTCTGCTGGACAGATAACTGGATTCGCTTATCAATCGACGATATCCGAGTATGGGAGGACGAAGTTAAAGACGAACTAGATAAGGTAATTCAAACTATTATTCCGAGCCTATATTGTAATCGAAATACAGTTGCATTTTGTCGGAGCGTTCTCTGCCTTTTGCCATAAAGCAAAGAAACATTTTTGTATCATTGTCCTGCGTAATTGAAGCAGAAAAGCTGCGGTTACATTAAGCATATACGGCATTCGCGTGCGCATGTTGAGATTTCTATTTTGCATAACTACCGGTACTTTAAGCAACCTCTGCTTCATGTTATTTTGCCTATTACTGCCTATAAAACGTCCCGCTGACGATAACCTCTCTGACAAATAAAGGACCTCTAAGTACAAAACCATGTGTGCTGAAAGAAGTGCCATTAAAATGGGACAAAGACAGCAGTTTATATTTCATTTGACAACGGCTTTAAACGACAATCATTATTGGTGATTTGTTTAACAGACAAGAACTATTGGAGAAGTACGAGGGATGTCTGAGCAATGAGATGTGGCACAACAGCCGCCAACGACGAATGTAGAGTGCATGGAAATCTACGTTAACGCACGCTACTCCATCAGCAGCCTTGTTAGTGTAAAGCTACACAACACGTTTCAGGGAAACTCGTTATTTCAGATCAACAAATTCAGTTCTAGTATGTCTTTACACGTATCCATTTTTGTCAGACTATAATTTTGGGGTGAACTTGTTTTGGAGTATATCATTTGTATCAATCCAATCCAAAGTGTATCAAGTGGGGTAGGAGAGCCTCAAGTATTTGGTTCATGACTGGTATTCTAGTTGATTCTGTGAGATGATTTTAATTCACAACATTCTTTATCTTTAGTTATTGGTAATTTAGTTATTGATTTAAGAAAATGACAGGTTGACAGTCCTTTGAGGCAGTTGTAATTCAGGTGATCGCATGACTCTAGTTAAAAAAAAGGTGATTTAGCCTTGGTTGATATAATTTTAGTTAACGATGTGGTATTATTTGAATTAATGGAATAATATACTTTATTATGATACAGTAGTAGTTACAGTCGAGTCTCGTTAATACAAACTCGTTCGGACCTAGCCAAATTGTTTGTTATATCAGAATTTTGTATTAAGAGGAACATCCGTCCCATTCATTGTGCACATAAATGCACAGTCGGGACCAAAGCTTTATGTTTGTTATAACCAGAATTTTGTATTAACAGAGTTTGTACTAACGAGATTCGACTGTATTCACAATGATCATTAGGTATTACTAAAGTTAAAAGCATGATTTGATTGTAGTTAATGAGAAACATATTCCTTAGTTAATAGCTTCACATTAGAGATCATGGGTGAATTTTTGCTGGTTAATGTCAATATTTGTATTCAGTGACTTACTTATCCCTTGCTTATGACAATATTAATTGTTATACCTCTGTCTTGAATACTGTATTTTAATTGGCCTAGAACGATCACATTCCCCTTGGGATATCACGTGTACGGTACCTAACCCTAACCTACGCTATTTTCATCATGTTTTCACACATGCGTGGGAGCAAGCGAACTATAGCAGACGATCAGCTGTTTTGAGCACGTGACATGCATGTGAGTTGCCGTTACATTGTCATTATTGTTGTGTTTACTGCTGCTTGTTTTCGTGATCTTTACATCAAAAATCAAGGAATCCAAGACAGAGGTGTCACAAAACAATTGTTGACTGCTGTGATGAGGGATATGACGTTTTGAAAACCCTCGAGGCGCATAGCACCAGAGGCGAAACGTCATATCCCACATCACAGCAGTCAACAATGGTTAACTACCGGTATATCACGCTAGATGAACTATAATCAAGTTTTAATTAATTAATTCCGGTAAATTGCAGGAGATGCTATAGTTCTAGTTATTTCTAATAATATTCTTGGTACACGCATGAGATCATTATTGTTAATTACAGTAGCTATTGGATATACTAGTAGTTTTAGCTAACCACAATGATATTCAGGTAAATAGTGTGATATTAATAATAGCTAATGGTTTTATCTGATAGTTGATAATAATATGTTTTGGACTTTTGGTGTACCAGTGTATTACTTGACGGGACTTTTTACAGGCACGTAGAAACAGCTTGTAATTTCCCACAAACCAATCTGCCGATTTGGTAAGAAAATCCTTGTTTAAAGGGAAGAAAATAGTGGCATTAACAGTCCCTGCGAAATTTTTCCACATTAAATGGTATCGTTGACAATCAATCAAGATTTAACAAGCGTGCTCGCTAAAATTTGACGGGGCTCGATTACGTGTATTAGAGATGGTGCTTTTTACATAAAACACGATAAATAAACGTTCAAATGGTACTTTACATGTTCTTTTTGTTTATCTTTGAAACAATTACGGGATAAGGGGTTGCTTGGGGTCAAACAGTATGCAAACGAAAGAGGGCAGTCAACGACTGGATAATAATCGTGTAATATGCACTGTTTCCCAGCCCCCTAAAGATATGGGGACCGGTAAATAGCTCCCATTTAGAGCCTCTAATTGGACCACCTCTGCGCACGCGCATCACGATCGTTTATTTCTGAATCGCTGTTCAACTCTTGTGCATGGTTGCTGGAGATTGAACTCACGATTATCAAGAAACTCACGCTTGTTATACATGTACCACAAAAGTACACAAAATCACAAGTGTCTCCATAAAAGCAACGTTCAAGCATATAAACTGCATAGAAGTATGGAACAGCAATATTTCTCTCTTAATTGATATTTGCCAGAGATACCTTCAAATTCGGCAAAAATAGCACATCGTGGCCAGGCCTATTCCCATTTTGCAACAGGCTGGTTGGGCGCAAACATTACCATTGTGATTTAGAATTCACAAGGCGAGGCGGGTTTCAGACCAACGCAGGTCATGCATATACATGAAGTTACCATACATTACCCGAAATTCCGGCCAATGTATGCCAGACTCGCCTCTATTACCGGACCCCATTTTTGAGGACCAAAGGACAACGGGGTCAGGGCACCAGATTCATGCACAATTCCCCCGAGTTACCATTTCGATCAACAATAGAGGGTGGAAGACAGCATACCGTGCCAGAAGTCCGCTTTTATTAAACGACACGCAAACAACCAGTTCCGGCATTTTCAGCGGCCAAATAGGAAACAACGGCTCTTCATTTAAACATATGATATCGATAGACCACCGGGTATGAATGGTAAAACTACCCGTATTTAATTGTGCAGCACACTTACTTTCTTACATCTTGCAATTTGTCTGTAAGTCTTCTCATAAAATTATACCTTACTGAATTCAACGGAAAGGCTACTGCCCTCGCGATCAATAAACTATCAGTTGTGAATCAACATGTTTCGATAACGCTCATACTATGACCTCCAACTCCCTCGAGGATGGATAGGTAAAAGGTTTCCACAACTCGAGGAAGGGTAATAGGCGGTAATTTTTAAAACGAAATCCCAATTAATTGTGACCTTTTATAGCTCAATTAATCTTCGGTTAACTCGGTCTTTTAAGATTAAATGAAGCGTGAAGGTTTAATTAACTCTGGTACAATAAATTTCAACTGGTCAAGGCCAAAAAGCTGTTTGTGTTGTTCAGGGGAACAGCAGGCAATATATAAAATATCACTCAATTGATGACTTGTCCCGGCCTTTATTAAACGTTCTTCATAATTCTGGATGAAGATTGTACCTTGGAGGCAGGTTGCGTCCCAACCTTTTTTGTACCCTCGAGGACGCTGAATAATGGACCATAGCAACAAGACCTTCGTTTTTGTTTTATGATAGCAATATTTTACGTCAGAGGAAATTCGCGTTTGTTTCTACCGCGACGACCAGTTTTCATTGTATTCGATTCAATGCTGAGACACTAAAAGGGTCTATACATGGACAGAGTACACATCTGATCCTCTTCAACTCTGCTACCGCGCGACTGAACAAGGAGCCATACATCATGTATTTGTTGAGAGTTTTCAACTTTGTAGCAATAACTTCAGCAATCAATGCTCAATTTAGGTCAGGTTCCTGCCACTCTCGACTCACTGTCCAATGCTCTTGCCCGCCAGAGTGGCAATTGTGGGGGAACGAGTGTTATCGCCTCACTCCTTCAACGCACACTTGGGATGACGCCAAGACAGCTTGCCAAGACATGGGAGGCAAGATGGCCGCTCCTCGCTCGCTCGAGGAAATGAATTTCATGGTGAATTTGGCACACAACGCGAACAGTGAATACAGAGCCTGGATTGCTTGCAATGACAAAGAAGTTGAAGGAACCTGGGAGTGTGATGGTCAGGAAGGAAGCGAGCCCTTCTTGGTATGGGATGTTTGGCAACCAGATGATTACAGAAACAATCAAGATTGTGTGGCAATAACCTCTATATTTAATGACAAAATGGATGATACTCCCTGTGATAAACCTGGCTGGGCTTTCTGCGTTCGTCAAGCTGCCTGCACTTTCGGCCTTATCCAATTCTATCACTGATGTCTCCTACCGACACCAACGGCCGCATTCTCAACTCAACTTGCCTACTCGTCCACATCTTCTGGTAGTTTGGTGTGGTAGCCTAAAGACGAGGACACACATCAAAACACTGATTAATTCTGTCTCTAACCTAAGGAGTAGGCCTACATTGGCTGCTCCTTAACAATGAAACAATTTTGGAGATGTTTACTACAAATTTAGCACCAAAGAAAATCACTTGTCTCTCAGGTATAGTGTCAACTGATTAAGTGTTTCGCCCCTAATAAAAATGACATTCTTGCTTTTTTATTTTGGGGCTTGGTTTTCATATTCCTCGTTCATATCAGAAAAGTGTATACCATTTGTGACAAGAAATTATCCGAAATTTTAGGGACAGTTTTGTTTTCATCCGAGGGGGCACATTTATGTCCGCAAAAGGGGCACTTGGGTACATCTGGTTCTGCTGCTCCAGTTGAGATTAACCTGAGTAACCTTCATCATTTAACCTTCAATGTGCATTTTTGCGTTGTTTTTCTTTCTGTGTCTGCAACACTCTTGAAAGAAGTTCTTCTAAAGGAATTTTGTAAGGTTAACAGTGAAGGACAATACCAAGCTGTTTGGATCACCTCTTATATATCGCTTACCAGCCTCCCTATCTCCCTCTTTTCTCCCTCAATGTGAACATTTTGGCAGGTCTGTCCAAGATTCTTCAGGAACCTCCATCGTCAGATGTTCTGCTGGACAGATAACTGGATTCGCTTATCAATCGACGATATCCGAGTATGGGAGGACGAAGTTAAAGACGAACTAGATAAGGTAATTCAAACTATTATTCCGAGCCTATATTGTAATCGAAATACAGTTGCATTTTGTCGGAGCGTTCTCTGCCTTTTGCCATAAAGCAAAGAAACATTTTTGTATCATTGTCCTGCGTAATTGAAGCAGAAAAGCTGCGGTTACATTAAGCATATACGGCATTCGCGTGCGCATGTTGAGATTTCTATTTTGCATAACTACCGGTACTTTAAGCAACCTCTGCTTCATGTTATTTTGCCTATTACTGCCTATAAAACGTCCCGCTGACGATAACCTCTCTGACAAATAAAGGACCTCTAAGTACAAAACCATGTGTGCTGAAAGAAGTGCCATTAAAATGGGACAAAGACAGCAGTTTATATTTCATTTGACAACGGCTTTAAACGACAATCATTATTGGTGATTTGTTTAACAGACAAGAACTATTGGAGAAGTACGAGGGATGTCTGAGCAATGAGATGTGGCACAACAGCCGCCAACGACGAATGTAGAGTGCATGGAAATCTACGTTAACGCACGCTACTCCATCAGCAGCCTTGTTAGTGTAAAGCTACACAACACGTTTCAGGGAAACTCGTTATTTCAGATCAACAAATTCAGTTCTAGTATGTCTTTACACGTATCCATTTTTGTCAGACTATAATTTTGGGGTGAACTTGTTTTGGAGTATATCATTTGTATCAATCCAATCCAAAGTGTATCAAGTGGGGTAGGAGAGCCTCAAGTATTTGGTTCATGACTGGTATTCTAGTTGATTCTGTGAGATGATTTTAATTCACAACATTCTTTATCTTTAGTTATTGGTAATTTAGTTATTGATTTAAGAAAATGACAGGTTGACAGTCCTTTGAGGCAGTTGTAATTCAGGTGATCGCATGACTCTAGTTAAAAAAAAGGTGATTTAGCCTTGGTTGATATAATTTTAGTTAACGATGTGGTATTATTTGAATTAATGGAATAATATACTTTATTATGATACAGTAGTAGTTACAGTCGAGTCTCGTTAATACAAACTCGTTCGGACCTAGCCAAATTGTTTGTTATATCAGAATTTTGTATTAAGAGGAACATCCGTCCCATTCATTGTGCACATAAATGCACAGTCGGGACCAAAGCTTTATGTTTGTTATAACCAGAATTTTGTATTAACAGAGTTTGTACTAACGAGATTCGACTGTATTCACAATGATCATTAGGTATTACTAAAGTTAAAAGCATGATTTGATTGTAGTTAATGAGAAACATATTCCTTAGTTAATAGCTTCACATTAGAGATCATGGGTGAATTTTTGCTGGTTAATGTCAATATTTGTATTCAGTGACTTACTTATCCCTTGCTTATGACAATATTAATTGTTATACCTCTGTCTTGAATACTGTATTTTAATTGGCCTAGAACGATCACATTCCCCTTGGGATATCACGTGTACGGTACCTAACCCTAACCTACGCTATTTTCATCATGTTTTCACACATGCGTGGGAGCAAGCGAACTATAGCAGACGATCAGCTGTTTTGAGCACGTGACATGCATGTGAGTTGCCGTTACATTGTCATTATTGTTGTGTTTACTGCTGCTTGTTTTCGTGATCTTTACATCAAAAATCAAGGAATCCAAGACAGAGGTGTCACAAAACAATTGTTGACTGCTGTGATGAGGGATATGACGTTTTGAAAACCCTCGAGGCGCATAGCACCAGAGGCGAAACGTCATATCCCACATCACAGCAGTCAACAATGGTTAACTACCGGTATATCACGCTAGATGAACTATAATCAAGTTTTAATTAATTAATTCCGGTAAATTGCAGGAGATGCTATAGTTCTAGTTATTTCTAATAATATTCTTGGTACACGCATGAGATCATTATTGTTAATTACAGTAGCTATTGGATATACTAGTAGTTTTAGCTAACCACAATGATATTCAGGTAAATAGTGTGATATTAATAATAGCTAATGGTTTTATCTGATAGTTGATAATAATATGTTTTGGACTTTTGGTGTACCAGTGTATTACTTGACGGGACTTTTTACAGGCACGTAGAAACAGCTTGTAATTTCCCACAAACCAATCTGCCGATTTGGTAAGAAAATCCTTGTTTAAAGGGAAGAAAATAGTGGCATTAACAGTCCCTGCGAAATTTTTCCACATTAAATGGTATCGTTGACAATCAATCAAGATTTAACAAGCGTGCTCGCTAAAATTTGACGGGGCTCGATTACGTGTATTAGAGATGGTGCTTTTTACATAAAACACGATAAATAAACGTTCAAATGGTACTTTACATGTTCTTTTTGTTTATCTTTGAAACAATTACGGGATAAGGGGTTGCTTGGGGTCAAACAGTATGCAAACGAAAGAGGGCAGTCAACGACTGGATAATAATCGTGTAATATGCACTGTTTCCCAGCCCCCTAAAGATATGGGGACCGGTAAATAGCTCCCATTTAGAGCCTCTAATTGGACCACCTCTGCGCACGCGCATCACGATCGTTTATTTCTGAATCGCTGTTCAACTCTTGTGCATGGTTGCTGGAGATTGAACTCACGATTATCAAGAAACTCACGCTTGTTATACATGTACCACAAAAGTACACAAAATCACAAGTGTCTCCATAAAAGCAACGTTCAAGCATATAAACTGCATAGAAGTATGGAACAGCAATATTTCTCTCTTAATTGATATTTGCCAGAGATACCTTCAAATTCGGCAAAAATAGCACATCGTGGCCAGGCCTATTCCCATTTTGCAACAGGCTGGTTGGGCGCAAACATTACCATTGTGATTTAGAATTCACAAGGCGAGGCGGGTTTCAGACCAACGCAGGTCATGCATATACATGAAGTTACCATACATTACCCGAAATTCCGGCCAATGTATGCCAGACTCGCCTCTATTACCGGACCCCATTTTTGAGGACCAAAGGACAACGGGGTCAGGGCACCAGATTCATGCACAATTCCCCCGAGTTACCATTTCGATCAACAATAGAGGGTGGAAGACAGCATACCGTGCCAGAAGTCCGCTTTTATTAAACGACACGCAAACAACCAGTTCCGGCATTTTCAGCGGCCAAATAGGAAACAACGGCTCTTCATTTAAACATATGATATCGATAGACCACCGGGTATGAATGGTAAAACTACCCGTATTTAATTGTGCAGCACACTTACTTTCTTACATCTTGCAATTTGTCTGTAAGTCTTCTCATAAAATTATACCTTACTGAATTCAACGGAAAGGCTACTGCCCTCGCGATCAATAAACTATCAGTTGTGAATCAACATGTTTCGATAACGCTCATACTATGACCTCCAACTCCCTCGAGGATGGATAGGTAAAAGGTTTCCACAACTCGAGGAAGGGTAATAGGCGGTAATTTTTAAAACGAAATCCCAATTAATTGTGACCTTTTATAGCTCAATTAATCTTCGGTTAACTCGGTCTTTTAAGATTAAATGAAGCGTGAAGGTTTAATTAACTCTGGTACAATAAATTTCAACTGGTCAAGGCCAAAAAGCTGTTTGTGTTGTTCAGGGGAACAGCAGGCAATATATAAAATATCACTCAATTGATGACTTGTCCCGGCCTTTATTAAACGTTCTTCATAATTCTGGATGAAGATTGTACCTTGGAGGCAGGTTGCGTCCCAACCTTTTTTGTACCCTCGAGGACGCTGAATAATGGACCATAGCAACAAGACCTTCGTTTTTGTTTTATGATAGCAATATTTTACGTCAGAGGAAATTCGCGTTTGTTTCTACCGCGACGACCAGTTTTCATTGTATTCGATTCAATGCTGAGACACTAAAAGGGTCTATACATGGACAGAGTACACATCTGATCCTCTTCAACTCTGCTACCGCGCGACTGAACAAGGAGCCATACATCATGTATTTGTTGAGAGTTTTCAACTTTGTAGCAATAACTTCAGCAATCAATGCTCAATTTAGGTCAGGTTCCTGCCACTCTCGACTCACTGTCCAATGCTCTTGCCCGCCAGAGTGGCAATTGTGGGGGAACGAGTGTTATCGCCTCACTCCTTCAACGCACACTTGGGATGACGCCAAGACAGCTTGCCAAGACATGGGAGGCAAGATGGCCGCTCCTCGCTCGCTCGAGGAAATGAATTTCATGGTGAATTTGGCACACAACGCGAACAGTGAATACAGAGCCTGGATTGCTTGCAATGACAAAGAAGTTGAAGGAACCTGGGAGTGTGATGGTCAGGAAGGAAGCGAGCCCTTCTTGGTATGGGATGTTTGGCAACCAGATGATTACAGAAACAATCAAGATTGTGTGGCAATAACCTCTATATTTAATGACAAAATGGATGATACTCCCTGTGATAAACCTGGCTGGGCTTTCTGCGTTCGTCAAGCTGCCTGCACTTTCGGCCTTATCCAATTCTATCACTGATGTCTCCTACCGACACCAACGGCCGCATTCTCAACTCAACTTGCCTACTCGTCCACATCTTCTGGTAGTTTGGTGTGGTAGCCTAAAGACGAGGACACACATCAAAACACTGATTAATTCTGTCTCTAACCTAAGGAGTAGGCCTACATTGGCTGCTCCTTAACAATGAAACAATTTTGGAGATGTTTACTACAAATTTAGCACCAAAGAAAATCACTTGTCTCTCAGGTATAGTGTCAACTGATTAAGTGTTTCGCCCCTAATAAAAATGACATTCTTGCTTTTTTATTTCAAGAAAACAAGGAAAGCGCAAATCGCCCTCATTAAAAATGAGAAAAAAATAATAATTGAATAGGGAATGAAACGTTAAAACAGAAATAAGGACAGTTCCTGTACAAGTTAAAACCAATTGAAATTATCATGGGGAAACTGCATTTTCGAAACTTTAGAAACATGATTACATTTCAATCTTTGCTTGATTTCGAAAATGTGTATTATTCACTGTTGTGGATGTGACTGTAAATAAATTCCCACGCATCTGCTTGTAAATTAGCATTAAAATACTCTCGAGTTTGTATGGACCTTATCGCCTGGCTAAGCCTATAGGCATGAGTAGCCTTTAGTGCATTCGTTGTTACTACACTAAAAGGTTCCTAAAATAAAATTCAAAACTCACATTGTATGTTATTTAAGGTCAGGAAGGACCGTTTGAACCCCTTTTCTTTTTTGCTTTTTATGGCAAACGTTGTCTTCTAAACTCCTTTCTTCAAATAAGTGTTAATTTGTCGATGTGGTCACATATTGCATAATTTTTAACATATTTCGTGGTAATTGAAAAAGAGCATTGGAGCTTAGTGTATCATTTGTGTGCAGGGGTGCATTGTATAATTTGCAGTTTAATGCCCGAATTTAAGTGTTTGCATAACATGTTTAAAGATATTTTTTATTCTTACGATTTTTTTTTCATTACGTAGAACACCATATTTTGCACCGATTTGGGGTGCCTAGTTATTCTTGTGGAGCCGCAAATAATATGAATTTTGTAAAAAAAGTTAATAACTAGATGTGGGTGGATTTTTGCCTTCTGTATCCAATTCAAATCTGGATAGCTTTTATACTGCTAGGTAAAAATTGCATTTGGTTTAGAAAATGATTTTACTTTTAGAAGCAAATATAAATGGCTGAACGTGTCAAACAAGACTTAGTCTAATCCAAATTTTTGAAAATTCAACATCATGAAATATCGATACGGTCACACTGAGTTCATTATATTCTGGTTTCTTTAAACATCGATCTACTCTGTTGCCTTATACATGTGGGGGAGGGGGTAACTTTATAGCAAGTCAGGTAACCCATATTGATGTATGATGAAAACAAGAAAGTGCGTGGTCAGGTGATTGTGACTGTTAGGTGATTGTGGATTTATTGTCATGTGCGGATACGAAACAAAAGAGGTTCGCCTTTGGTAAAGATTTTGTTGGTATCGAAACGTTAGGCCTTTTTTTTATTACAATACAAAATAAATGGCCTTTCGGAGCCATTTCGCATTTAACTTTTCCTTTATTTCAGCTTGGTAAGTGCATAGGTTGCAGTGATTACGATATACTAGCTGTTTTCCTTAATAAACACTTGCTGGTGCGAGCACCTTTAATGTTTACTATCCAATGACTGTATGGAATGTGGTTTCTACACAATGTAATTTGAGCCACCCGACCCTCACAACCAGCCCATTCACCCCTGATTAACCTCTGGCATGTCTGGAGTATCTCTCAGGCCCCAAACAGCCGTTAAAACCACAGACATAACCCCATTTGACATTCCATTTTGGTCACAGGGGTGATCGAAATAATCCCAATGTATATAGTGCATTTGTACACAAGCCTATGTAAATGTGCACAAGCACACAGGGTTTTCCCGCCAATTTTCAACCCCTCCAGTATGATCACAAGACTGACACCCCCTCTGAAGGATGTAGTATGGTCCATACTACGATCTGGTGATAGATGGCCCCGGGTGTGTTTACCACGTGGCCAGGACAATATAAAACATAAAAATGTGTAGAGTCAATATTCCATCCTGAATCCAGGTAAGGTTTTAACTAACAATTAGGCCAAATGATAAACAGCACCTTGGAGGGATGCATTTGTGTTCTGTCAACGATAGCGGTCCGTCGACGGCATGACCTTAATTAAGAGTGCGGCAGCAAATGAACTGTCAAAGGTAGTAATGATAAATTCGGCCCAAGTCAAACAATGGGAAAAATACTCTATCACTGGGGATCAAATCAAAAGGGAACCCGACCACATTTTTTTTTTGGGGGGGCGCAAAAAAAAAGATTGGTCCCCCCAAAAGTGGGTCCAAAATAATTACGGCGTGGGGTTCGGGTTCAAGGGTCCCTAAAAAAAAAGTTGGATTCTACATGTTCTGTGTTGCTATCCGACGCAATTTCTAACCATTTAAACAATTTTTTTATGGGTGCGGTTTGTTTGTTTGTTTGGGGTTTTTTTTGGGGGGGGGGGAGGGGAGGGCATGGCCCCCGAACGGTTGAACCCCCCCCCCCCCCATCCCACTTGATCAAGAAGAAATACATCAAATTACAGTTAGATTTACCCTCTTTCACTCCCCCCTCATTTTTTTACGGGATTCGCAGATGTCTTTTTGGTAATGTTTCCCTTCAAATATTACCATCCCTAAAAGCAGTCCTGAAGCACGTCGCCATTGTAGAAGAAAAAATTCCCCCACTCAATTGCAACATAGAGCGACTTTAGGGTCCGTGTTTCAAAGAGATACAAGTTGAGAGCTACGACCCTTCATTTATATCTACCTTCATGTACATGGGCAACAAAAGAGGACTCGGCTCACACGTGAATGCAAAGTAAGTAGCGTTATTTAACATACAGCTGTAATTTAAAAGATTTATTTATTTAGATTAATTTTCAGTCTTAAAATTGAATTTTACTACCAAAAACGTAAAATACAGTTGTGGTGGGAGGATCAGGAGCGGGGTATAGCCAGGAATTACGGCAAGATAGGGAGGGCGATATGACGGCGTGACGTGATAGTCGGACGGCGCGATTTCGCAATTCCTGGCGCATACCAAGGTTATATGGGTTGCTCATTAACTAGTCAAAGTGTTTTATCGTTTCCAAATGACTATAACAGCCTCCGGCACTACAGTATTTCTTTTAATTCTGATGAACAAAATGTTATAATTGACACAAATATATGTTTGATTAAAAAGTCTTTTACTTTCTTTTAAATTTCCAAGTCGAATATATATGTTACAGTGGGACCACGTACGTTGAGTGATTGGGTCATTCGTATCAGAACGACTGCAACCCACGCTGTCGAGTCAGTAAGTTTGTAGATCGAATGCACATTCTGAACATGTAATATTAACTTGATTATGTTCAACTTTGGTCACAACGCGCACTAAAGAAATGTCACGTGCATATCATATACAAACATCCGTGTCATTAATTATCATTACTATAAAAAGCACTACAAAGTTGGAAAAACCAGAAAATACCAAGTTGTATAGGTAATAGTTTGAAAAGGTGCATAGTTAAAATAATCGTCGGGTATCCTTGTCTTAGGAAAAGTGCATCATTGGTGAGCTACATGTATAATAAGTATGCTATAAGCGACCGCAAAATGATCACTACTCTGTAGAATTAAACAAAAATAATATAAAATGTTACATAGATTGTGTATCAATTTTTCACATCAAATAGACCTCTGTCAAATAATGGTTTTGCCCAGCCTGCTGGGTCATGTGATCATAGCTTGATCACGCCACCGCCTGTGACGCAGTTCAATAATGGTTGGCTATTCGGTAGGATGCCATCGATCTTGACTGGACCAAAAGTATGAAGAAAATCGTACTTTACTGAGGATTATTTGACTTTTGCAACCAAGGCATGGTTTTCCCGCCTTTTGTTCTGAAAATCCAGTGTCAGCGATTTACGGGTACACCGAAGTAGGCCTATAGGTAAGTAACTACACTGTAGTGTTGCCTATGCATCCTTTTGTGCAGCAGGAATGTATGACACAATGTCACCAGATAAATAAATTAGGCCTAATCAAGAACAATGCGTAACGTTAACCTCAACAGACCCAACTCCATAGGCCCCTTTTTAAGTCTAGTAACTCCCTGCCTCCTCTAAAGTTCCTCACGGAAACCAGTAAAAAAATATGTTAATTTCTTTTTCAGAGAACATAAAAAGTCCCATGTAGGACTATTACGGCTCTATCATCCCTTGCACGACAAAATCCTTCAAAATTTCCGGAGGGGGTTGACGGATATGGTTAAATGTATTTGATTTGTGCTGTGACGTTTGCGTGAACGTTTCGTATAACCAAATTCACTTCCCATTAACATGTATAATTGTGATATTGTCCCAAAAGGTATTCCCATAAGGCCAAATAAAACCTACATGTTTAGCGTCTCCACCCACTTCTTTTTTTGGAGGCTCTTTTTTTTAACAAAAACATGATAAAATTTAAACAGTGACATCATTTTGGCCTCTTTGTCTGTTGCATCTAGCCCATATAAAGCTGGTATATCAAGTGACGGCCATTTAAAAAAAAAGCTGAGGCCATCTTGAAAAATAGCCCGTTCGAGCGGCCATTTTGGAGGAAAAAAGAAAAACGGCATTCTCCTTCCTTTTTTTCAAAAAGGCAGGACGCTAAACATGTTTTTTGGGGGGCCAAAATTCGTCGCAAATACTGCACTTCCTCCGTATTATAAATCCACAGCTGTGTTTACTCAATTTCCTGAAAAGAAACTGAATTTGAAATCGAGACTGTTTACCCGCTCGATATTTACTAGGGAAAACAATCATATTTTCTACCAAGCCTAGAAAGTTTTCCGAAATTACGTCAGGACTTTTACAGGATACCCAAAAGTCTAAGGGCGAGGATTTGGGTTCCTTTTTTTAACCAGGTAAGTTTATAGACATTCCATATACATGTAATTCAAATTTAGGGAACATTACTTGTTTTCAGGACGTTTAGCACCCATTGCTGTGTAGCTTACGATACGAACGAAGGAAGTCCATTATTTGAGATGGGGCCACCTAAAAGTATAGTCTATGTAACAGACAATGGCGAAAGCCATAGTCTATTACATTTGAGCAGATTCGCTGATTAATAATGCAAGACAACAGCATCTTGACTTCTAAATTTTGATCAATCAGCGGGCGCTTTCTATATCGGGTCTTCGGTCATTCACCGTTGTTGCGTCATAAACTTGAGTAAAAAAATAACCTCGATACGGCAACAAAAACTGTGGTCACGCGCTCTGTATTATATTACGCGATACACGCCCGGTTGTTGTTGTATTACAAAACACTGCATTCGAATTAACCAATCAAACGTTTAGTCCTGATTTGGGAATGAAATGACGTCACGATTTTAGTAAAGTCGACTCCGATTGGCTGAGGCGCGAGATCGTAAAAAATTGCATGCTTTGACATATCAGACGTTATACAGGAGACTTGGCTGGTGATACTCAGACTACATAAAAAGGGGGAAATCTCAAAATTGCAAGCCCTGCACAGAGAGACAACATTTGAGACAAGGAAAAATGACAGGTTCAAGACCAGTCTCGTCAATGCATCAGCGAAGTGTGTCAAAAGAAACGCAAGTCTCTCTGCATTCTGTCCACTGTTATGACACGCGACTACTCTTTTTCGGTATTTGAATTGAGGCTTAAAACTTAACCTGTGGGGTGAAGTAGTAAGAATCTCATCTTTGCCTTCAGATAAAGAGTCGGTGAAATCAACCTTACTGAATTGTCTGCACTTGTCGTTGCGGTTCCAGACGAACAGTGCAAACGGTGGGAAACAGTTTGCATTCAGGACACATAAATAATTCTTAGATATACAACTCTAATACTGTTGTAAATGTTTCATTGTTTCTTAGCTGAGGATTTACGATACAACACGATATGGACACTCAAGATGAAGCAGGTCCTAGCAGGCCATCTGGAGGTACGTATGGTTGCCTTTCATTCTACTTTAATTCCCCTGCCTTTTTATAAATCTTAAGACCGTGTTTTTGTTTATATCGAAATTAAAATCCAAATACTTTTTAAAAGTGTGATGTACTGGGGATTGTCTTTTTGTAGAAACTTAAAGGGGTACCTTTGCCCGTAATGTATCCCGAATTACTCTTAAACGCGTTTCGTACGAAACATTGTGTAATAAATCGTTATCAAACGGTACATAGAGTAATGTGTTTATGCTATGTTAAAACATAATACACGGTGACCCAAAAAATGCAAACTATAAAACATTTGCCTTTAAAAAAGGGATCAGTGGATTCTTGTGTTTTGGTTATCAGATTAAAGCTGAGAGCTTTTTTTTCAAATACTTAAAAGAAAATCAGAAAATAACACTTGGGTTGCTGAGGAAATGCCAACTATGTAATAGTAGTAATTTTTCATCCTGTACACAAAACATTACAAAGGGTTTTTCACTGTAGCTATTTGTGCATGTCCTAATCCTTACAGACAACATGTAACATAATATCACAAGAGTACAAGTGAATTTAATGGAAATACCTTTTTATTTCCAAACCTTTCCAGTATAATAAATGTGTCCAAATATTAAAGAACTTGCGCAAAATTGCACAACAGGTTTACAGTGAAATTTGTCACTGTTGGAAGTATTTGTGTACAGGATGAAAATCACTTCACATTATTGGCATTTTCTCAGCAACCCAATGTGCTATGATTTTTTTTTTCAGTATTTGAAAAAAAAGCTCTCGGCTTTTATCTGATACCCAAAACATAACAATCCACTGATCCTATTTTTTAAGGCAAAAGGTATAGGATTGCATTTGTTTGGGTCACGCTGTATATATACAGGGTGTCTCAAGGTAACCCGTAAAGAAAGGGATAATATAAAATATGAACAAGGTATAAACTTATCGACCATTATTATGATGTTGTCATAACCTAAGGGTTGTAAGCTTTTCATTGATGTCTTAAATACATTCCTCTGGCTATGAATCAGTGAGTTCTAATGTTTTCGAAGTAATAGGCCTATCGTAGGACAGTTTTGGGACAGTTTGGGGTAAAACAATTATGAATAGCAAATCCAGACATAAGACAGATAGGTTCAAGGCAACTCTTCGGAAAACAAGAACAGAATAACTGTTAAATCATTCAGGATTCGAAAACCTTTCATGTTCATCCTCAACATGTCCACGATCCCCATGCCCCTTCCATTTCGGCACAAGGTTCTTAACGGTGGCCCTATAACTTCCATGGCTCATCTGACCATTGCCCAGTGATCACGTAAATTATCCGCCTAGTGCTGTATGAAGACCTGCATAGGTAAGGTTAAGAGGAAGAGTGCTGAAATATGTATACGCCAAATCCCACCCAAAAAGTCACAAGAAGTCAAATCCAATGACATGGCAGGTCATTCCTCGATATGATTCAGTGTCATACCATGCCTCCAAGGGTTCCTGAAAGCTATAACTGACAGCACCCGCTTGTGCCCGCCAATATACTGTCGGAAGAGACATGTACCATTTTGTTGATGTTCGAAATGCAACTCGCGCTGCAGCACAGGATCCCTAATATTGATGGAAGCCCAGTTTCCTTCATGATTTCTTGAATATCCTTTGAAGCTACTTGTATTACGTCTGGTTGTGTTCACAGTGTTTTACCCCTAATTGTCCCAAGTTTTGTATTTTATTTTTTTTTCCCCCAAAAAGTGAATTTTGATCCCTAAATTGTGTTCATGATAGATAAAATGAAATGTAGCCCGTTCTTATCAGTCATCTGGAGGTTTTATTCCGAGGCGGTTAAGTCCGAGAACTATTCCGTTACCAACTGACGCATGCGCATTATGTGTTTTTTTTTAAATATAGATAATTGCGGCCCGTTTTGTTGACAACAAGATGGTATAGTCTGGTTTCCAAACTCTCTATATCATGAACGTACGGTGGCCCTGGAACGGCATTTAAATGTTGACCTTTTGAATATGAACCTTGTATCTTTTTAATATTGACGTTGTATCTTCGCAATATGCATGTTGTACGCTGCTTAATATCGCAATGTGGAAGTTCTTCCTTCTTAATGTGAATGTTCAAACTTGTTAATGTTCACGTTCGATCTTGTCAATGTACACCATGAATCATGCTCATGAAGAACTCTGTTTTGTATTATTGTAATTGACGAAGCTAGAGTGTACCGTCAAGAAAATATTAGTTTCATTAATCTATGTGAACACATCTTTTCTAGTGAAACAGCGCTTATTAGTCTGAACATAAATTATAAAAGATGAGTGAATTAAAACAGAGAGCCTTGTTTGCATGATTAACAACACTTCAAGCTAGACCCAGGTTAAGTGACATTAAACAGCCGTCGTATTGAAACGCCATCCTATCTGGTTGAATAAACTACATGGCTTGGCAAGGACATCGTACTTTTCAGTACGCTTGATTCACATTGCGAAGGAGCACGGTTCAACAATAATATTAACAAGATGCAAGGTTCAACGTTAATAATGCGAAGGTCCATGATTGATATTGCGAAGAAGCAAGGTGCAACGTTGACATCAAGCATGATTCATGGTGTACATTGACAAGATCGAACGTGAACATTAACAAGTTGAAACATTCACATTGAGAAGGAAGAACTTACACATTGCGTTATTAAGCAACGTACAACGTGCATATTGCGAAGATACAACGTCAATATTAAAAAGATATACGGTTCATATTAAAAAGGTCAACATTAAAATGTCGTTCCAGGGCTACCGTATGAACGAACTATTCACAGCCAAACTATATGAATCGTGCTGATTCATGTATTCATGTGCTATTTTCATTGAATATACGAATAATGCACCACGTATCACAACACATTGACTCGGGCATCAAACCATTTTGAGGTCTTATCTGATTAGTTTTTGGACTGCCTGATTAGAAAGCCAAAGAAAAGAATAAATGTGTGTTTACAGTAACATCCTGCAAATTGACATTGGTAGGGACTATAATGTAGATAGGAATAACAATTCTTTGTTATTTTGTAACCTTTTATGATTGTCCGTGTTGGTCTTCATAGTGCTAACTTTGTTTACTTTAGAGGTTTCTTTAAAGCCGCCCTCTGGTGGACCTGCGATTTGCTTGCGCCGCGACGGAACCGTCAGCATCAAGCAGAAAAGTCGAGCCTAGGTCACAAAACTGAGAAACCGTGTGATCCTCATGGAACAATTAAGCGTCATCTCGACACAAAATAATCGCCGCCATGCTCACTCAGTGACGTTACCCACGACGTGACGACAATTACAATAGACCTTAATTAGGGTGCGCCATCTTCAAAATCAAAGCGAGGCAATTAAAGCTAACAAACATGGCGGCGTAATAATTTGTTCGGTGAACGAGTGACTCTCGCAAAGTTAATACAGCAGATTGAAATCTTATAAATGGATGGATACCTCAAGTTTCCAGAAACATCAATCTATTCTATGTGGGTCATGTCTCATTGCATTTTGAAGAAGAATCTCATAAATAGCTTCAAACAGTGACCGAACTCAGGTGTTTGTGTAGTGCTCACTAGCACTACTAGTTTAACGCCGCAGCACTGCCATCAACGGCAAACGTCAACTTTCACTTTTCATCCGTGGCGTTTTCTGAAATATTGAATTTATTTGGCAGGAACTACTTGAATAAGGCAATCCGAGAATTGTCATTTTTTGCACAGGACCTATTAGTCTAGGCAATATAAGGTTTGACCTCAAACAAATTGCAACATATTTTTTTTCACCACAGTGCATTTCTATTTGGTCCCTAAAATAATATACTAAAAGTCCAAATAGTGTTATGCCCAATTTGCAAAAATCCGAAAACGGCCGCAAACTGTAACACTTTCAAATTGATTTGGTCATAATTCTCATAATACTTAGCTTTTTGGGGTATTTTAAGCGACAATGTTAGTCCGCTTACATTGATTTCATCATAATTGTAGTCCTATGTAACTTTCAAGATCCCTATTCCCAAATTTGCCAAATGCTGTGCAATAATTTGCAATTTGTTTAAGGTTCACTCAGATACGAACATGAAATTTTTTTTCTTGCATGCACACATTGCACACGTGCAAAACGACACGAGCGGCACGAGCCTTCAAGACACCCGTCTATTAGTTGAGCAGACGGGCTTCTCGAAGGCTCGTATCATTCTGCATGTAAACGAATCGGGGTAACTATACAGTGCACTAGCGTTGATACATTTCTGCATGGGGGAGCCTTTTACGTTCGAATCGGTCTCCAGTTCCCCTTATTTCTGGAAAACGACAGGGACTGCGCGAATGACAATTTACGGATAGCCTTATAAGTAACTCCTACCCCATCAATGCAATTTCAGCTCAGAAAACGCCACGGATGGAAAAGTGAAAATAGAAAGTCTGACGTTGTTGGTGGTACTACTGCGTTAACCCTAAAGGGGCCGGGTTATTTTGACCATCTCTCAGCCGGGGGCCGCCCCCCCCCTAAGATCTCGGCCATCGAGTGACGAAAAATTTTGAAACTCGGCACATGCATAGAGCAACTCTTCCTAAACATACCCAAGAAATTTCATGACTATAGGTCAAAGGGTTTTGGAATTATGGCTAATTAATTATTCATATGTACGAATGGCAATTCTGCTCTGTGTACACGGCGTATATGCGAACATTCAGTTTTCACGGCGCCTAGCGCCGAAAAAATTTTCGCTACGCGGTAACCCGTGGTCCGATTTTTATGGGTTTTTTTTTTTTTATTATTATTTTTTTTTTTAGAAGCTATCACAGAAAATGTTGAGGGGGGGGGGGGCGGATTCCGCCCCCGGCCTATTTAGGGTTAATTACTAGCGAGTTCTATGAGGAAACTTCAATTCGACCACTGTTTTAGGCTTTATCTTCTATATTTCTTCAAGCTGCAATGAAACATGACCTACCTAGAATACACATTGAAATTTTGAGGGAATTTGAGCTATCTATCAATTTATAAGATTGTCAATCTGCTGTAATTTCCGAGAGTTACTCGTTCACCGCATACGCTATTTTCGCCGCCATGAATGTTTGCCTTATTTGCCTCACTTTGATTTTCAAAATGGCGTAGCCTATCCTGAGAAAAATCTTTTCAAAACTTTTCACAATGCTCGACTGCGATTGATTCCCGCTTGTCGGGAACACGTTCCATCGCGTCGTAGTTGTTGAAATGTGTGTACTCTTGCGACTGTCGGTTTTGAGCGCTGACTAATGCCGATTTCCTCAATATCGTCGCAGTTACACTCCGGTCACAAAATATATGCAACTGACATGTTCCCACCAGTCGAAGCTCAGGCGCAGCTTGATCATTAATCTAAATGTCAGTCGCCGACTCTTCCGTGCCATCGCGAGGTCGACCTGAGGACGGCTAAACAGCAGCTTAAAAGCAGTTTGTGTAAAATAGTTCTGTTGACTCATCCTGCTTAATTAACACTTAGGCCTCATTCAAAAGTGAGCAATTGGAAATATGCCGAATTTCATTTATTTTTTTGGCGAAACTTTTGGGCAGCAAATTGTGCGGTCTATAATTTGGCACCAAAAAATCTGGGCTAAGTTGAAACATTTTACCAAATGGGGCTTAAATTACTTAGTATACCATTTTTTTTTATCGGTTTCGGTTTTTTTTTCAGAACATTGCTTCGATGACAAAGCTCTGTACGAGATCGCTACGAGGCTTGGTTGTGATTGGGTAAAACTGGCAGTTCAGGGGCTTGGCTTTACGATGATACAAGTTCCAATTATCGAGAACAAATACGAAAAAGATCCCATAAGGCAAGGTTTGGAAATGCTTGTGACATGGAAACGTGCCCAGTCCACCAGTGTTGAACAGCAGATTACCACGTTGTGTACAGCATTGAAGAACATCGGAAGGGCAGATATTGCAGAATTTCTGCAAGGTAAACACATGTTTCTGCTCATTGTATGTGTAGTGAGGACAAGGGCGGATCCAGGGGGGGGGGGCCAAAGGGGGCCATGGCCCCCCCCCAAAACGAAACCAATTTTTTTTTTTTTATGTGACATCGCAAAAAAGGCAGGCAATGAGCACACCACCATCTTTTCCTCAAAAAAACATTGGTTAAAGTGGTCAGAAATTGCCTCAGATCGCACCACAGAGCATCTAGAATCCAAAAATTCGGGGCCCTTAAGCGGGCCCCCTGAACCCCACGCCGTAATTTTTGGACCCACTTTTTTGGAGGACCAAAATTTTTTTTGGCCCCCCCCAAAATTGTGTTCTGGATCCGCCCTTGAGTGAGGAATTAAAGGCGTTCTTGCAGAAATTGAATACGTGTATTCATTAACATTACAAAATTGGTCAAAATAGGCAGTTCGCTCTACTTATGGGTTGGGTTTCTGAAAGCGGATACATGTCAGTGCTGGTATGTTAAATTGCCAATGAAACAGCAACCAATAATTTGATGTAACCTTGTTATTTCTTTCAAAAAAAAAGCAACGAAATGTAGAAAACAACATTTGAATAGATTTTTTTTAAATGCCATATTTTGTTCCTTTAAAAAAAAAAACTTCTCTTGGTGCAAGTCCAGCAGACAACTGCGCCAAATGTTTAATTTACAGGGAGCAAAACATAAATCTTTAAAGTTTTGTTCCCCGTGTTCAACAAATTAGATTTTTTTTATTTACATTCATACATTTTCAACTAAAGGTTTTATTCCAACAAACCCCGCCCCTCTTTCTGGACGTCTGTTAACCTCTAAAAAGGTTTTGTTTTGTGAGCAGACTGGCTCCCAGTGGGTATTTTATGACACTGATAGAAAAAAGGAATTATTGTCTTGTAACCAAATAACTCGAAATTGTTAAGTAATTATTCAATAACTAAAAATGAACCGATCGGTCAGTGTCTCATTCAAAATTGAAAAACTTTTGTATTGCTGGAAAAAATTGTCGGGATAAAACTGACAATCAGCACGGGAAACGCAAATCCAAACTGAGGTGATTGAAAATGGGTTTACGCTACAAGAATTTTTTTTTAATATAAATAACATAGGGGTAAATTACAGGGGATGGGGAGGATTCCTGTCACACTTCTGCGTATCCTAATTCCTTATGACTTGCGCATTGACATTTTTTTCATACGCAGTCGTACGCACAATACGCACCTCATATGCATCTCCATCGTTTTGTGTAGGTTTTATGTAAGCAGATATACGCATGGTACGGCCCAGTACGCTGGATAGTTTTGGGCATGCACAAAACTACGCTGCGTACGCTGTTACGCAGGTCATAAGTTATAAATACGCAGCGCATCTGTCCCGCATCGGTTGAGCGCGGTACGAGTACGCTATGTGTTCGGGAGGGATAAGCCGTTCATATGCGGCAATACGCTGACCTCCTATATTGGACGTATACATAGCGACGTATTGCACGAATTAGTACCGCTCGTCCTGCGAGCGGGCAGCGCAATGTACTTATTCGTAACTTATGAGGAACGCACAGATGGCGAACTTGCGCACTGCATACGTTACTCATACCCATCTCATACGCAATGGATGCGCTGAATTCGTTACTTTTACGCTAGATGTGCGTCGTACATAAGTCAAAGTGATCAAAACATTTCGACGTTAATTGAGCGTACGGCTGCGTATTGAAAATTTTTGATAAGGAACTCATAAGGAATTCAGATACGCAAAGGTGTGACAGGGGCTTTACTGCACATGCAGCGGACGTATTTGTGTGTAACGAAAGCAGCGTGTCAGGCACTTTACGCTATACATTTCAAGTCATATCAGTTAAAGGACGGGGATGTTTTTTTAGGGGGCCACCACCGGGGATTAATTTTGTCAAGTTTTGCCCTTTTCTGAGAGAGAAGCGTTGTATGCTAAAAAGAACCAGTACGTGCTGGCAATAATCAGGGAATTGGTGGACAATAACAAGAAAATTGCCGACGTGAATTAAAATTGATATATAGGGGAAGGAAATGAGGATTTGTTATCAGCATCAGCAGTTTGAATGGATGCTAAACAGACGGTCTTTTTCTTCCTCCCATTTTAAACGATCGAAGTCTCATTATGAAGAATGGGTGGGAAGAAGCGAAGGATGGTCGACCTTTAAGGTTTCTAAGGGTGGGAATAAAGTTAAAGCCCCTGCCCAGAGCAATCAGTTCAATGATTGACAGCTTTTTAGCCTTCAGCAGTGATTTTCTTTGCCTCATTTTTACGCTTTTATGCAAATTACGGGACTGGTCAGATCTTTCTCCGGCTGGTTTTGGTTGGCTTTTGTTGATTCTCCTGGTGATGAACGGTTGCGTTTGGTGTGAAATAGATGGCATTTTTGAGTTACCCTTCTTTCAAACCGAAACCATTTTCTTATGTTTCCCTCACTGCATTAGGTATATCAAATATCCGGGAGACTGCAAAATCAGGTATGTATTGGTCAATTTGGCATCCCAAATGTTTGGAAAGCATCACAATGATGAACCAGGAAGTGTTTTTTTGCTGGAGGTAGAGCTTATCCACTGTCGCTTTAATATCATAATGATAAGGGAACCCGTTATTAATGATTTTTACACGTGTGCATAATTATAGCAAATTTTCAATCCTCTGAAGTGTATGAAAATTAATAATCATCTGTTTTTGGATAATTTTTTTTTGAAAAGTGCACCATTTTAAACGTTTAAAATGTTGCTACTTTTCCTAACAACTAAGGGCGCTGTTGCCGTGATTTTGCTTATTAAAATATTTGGACAGAAATAGACTGAAGATGCAGATATACACTGTAAAAACAGTGTTTAGCATTTAAACACATCAGAAACGTGTTTATAGTTTAATACGTTTAGGAATGTGTTTCAATTCTAAACGTTTACCACTTTTTAATGTTGTGAAACTAAACGTGTTTACGTTTTGGGCATGTGCTTAGGATTGTATATCTAAATGCGCTTAGGAAGGTGTTTAAATGCTAAACATATTATAAATTGTACATGTCAAACGGATAATGCGTGTCACAGAAAAAGGACATCTAAACATGTCATGATGCTAAACGTGTGGAAAAAGTGGGTACATAATTAGTGTTTAGAAATGTGTTAAATCCTAAACACCATTTTTACAGTGTAGGGCCAGTTGTGGTAAGGGCTTATACAAAACCCCACCTTAACTTACCATTAAGTCATTATCAAGTGATAATTATTTTGTGACCTTTTTTTCCATATTGATAATTTTCTCTTGACCAACAGGTCCTGATCATCTGAAGATTTGCCAACAGCTGCTTGTCACTTTCTACGAAGCTCACGCAGGGTTCATCCCAGAGATTGTAACGTCTTCTATGTTTCCGGCGCTGGGTGTTGATGAATTCTATATTCATTTGAATCTCCTTCAGAGTGGGCACCAAACCACACGTGAAGACGTGAAAATGTCAGGGCAAACTAAGAGTTTGAATAGACCCGAAACAGTCCCACTGGACACATGGGAGGATATGTATGATGAAAAGAAGGTAGGGGGAAAATGATCCTTCTTTCAGGTGGGGCTGGATTCGGCAAATCGACCCTTTGTGTAACGATAGCGAATACCTGGAAAAAACGTCAAGGGTCAAACGTTGCCAAATTTGAGCTCCTGTTCTTGTTGAAGTTGAGCCAATTCAAGACAAGTTGTATCATAGATGCAATTTTTGATCAATTGTTGCTGCACACTGACAAACTGACAAAGTCAGATTTGAAAAAGGTTATCAGTGACAACGAAGATAAGGTTGCATTTTTGATAGATGGGTTAGATGAAATACCGCGCCATATTTTGGAATCTGCCGAGGGTGTGTTTACGATTGACGAGTTGTTGAAAAACATGAAATTGCTCAACAGCTGTGTGTTGGTGACAACACGGCCAGACATGGCTGCCATAGTTACTCAGGGGTACCGAGGCTATGCCATGGTTGAAACAAAGGGATTTACAGTCGGAAACAGAAATAAGTTCATTAAAGCACAGTTTCCACGCGATATCACTGCTGCAGAAGCCTTAATTTCATGGTTGGACTCACTTTTTGCTCTCCAGGCATTGTCACAGAGTCCAATCATTGCACGTATGCTATGTTTGCTTTGGCCGAACAGACCTGACCCATCAAAACCATTGCCAGACAAGTTAACAACTGTGTATTCTGAATTCACAGAGGCTCATATTAAACTTCGCTTAAGCACACTTAGTGATGCTGATAGGCAGCAAATGATGAAGAAAATGTTGAAAAGACTAGGACAAGTTGCATTGGAAGGGCTCCTAGATGAGGAAAGACTCCATTTCTCACCTGGAGATTTCACCGGGGACGAATCTGTCTTGAAGGACGGTTGTCAAATGGGTATCTTGAAGACAGAAACTGTTCCGAGTAGCTGGAGGGACGTTGAAGTCGTCACGTTTCTCCACAAGTCTCACCAAGAATACTGCGCAGCATGCTACCTTATCAGTCTGCTCGATAGTGATGAACAGAGCTTTCGTAAGTGTCTTGATAAAGCCGTTTCACTTCGTGTTGCGAAAGTTATATATGTGCTTCGATTTTGCTGCGGTTTATCAGAACGGGCTGCTGATCTCATCCTTAGCCGTATAGGACAGGGTAACGACGATCTTGCACGATTGTGCTTGGTTGAGTCTGGTTCACAAAAGTTAGCGTCTAAACTACTGAAGCCAGCAAAGATTTCGTGCGAGGGCCAAGAGTACCTGGCAGCACTGTTGTTTTACATACAGTCTGGTATTAAACTAAACAGGACCGTCTTCCTAATCAGGTGCAATTCATATGCCGAACTGCAAGTTCTTGGAGATATTCTTCGATGTTGCAAAAGTAACATTCGGAGAATGACTATCAAGTGTACCCTGTCTGATCAAGGTAATGAGATGTTACGGCTGCTTGCAAAAACGCTTCAAAAAGCGGATAAGGCATTGATGAGGAAGAAATTGCTAGGTATACAAATTGATATTGTTTATCAGTCAAATTACGATGGTCAGTACCTATCGGAGTGCATTTCTCATTTACCTGAGCAGTTATGGACGGTGTCTGTATTTCGAAGATCGCTGGATGAAACGTGCGGTCTAGTGGATGCACTGACAGGATGTGTGTTACACAGTGTGTGTGTATCTGAGGTCGACATGCACGGTCACATTGCTGAGTTGGGTCCTCTTGTTACTCCAGCCTTGAAGGAGTTGTGGTTAAACGTCTGCGAACTGGATGATGCTGATGTGGAGGGCGTGGTCAGCCTCCTTCCTGTTGGACATGGTTTGACAGAGATTGGTATTCCTGGCAATGCATTCAGTTTGGATGCAGTGAAGACTCTTGCGGGCCATTTTCATGATCTTCCTAAACTGAACTTTTTCTTGTGCCACTCCCAAGGTCTTGATGCTAATAATGTTCAGCAGGTGATTCAGCAAGACATTCCACAACTGGAAGAAAATGCGAAAAGAGCACGCAGGCCTTTCAAGTGCAGTTCATACGAGGAGGTAAAACAACTCACACAAACTCTTCTTGGTGGCCTGGTCCTTCCGACCAGCTGGATAGATTTGAGGTACTTGGTGTCGGAGCGGTGGGGAGAAGCGATGGCACTGCTTGAGGAAACATTCGGGTCATTGGACGAAAGGCTCCGTGGTCAAATGGAGCTCACAGTCGATGTTGGGAATGAGAGTGTCGCTGATGTTGAGCGGCTTGCAGGATGCATAAGCCGTCTGTCCACTCAAGTTGAGAGGTTCA